AGTTAAAAAATTCAAAATTTCAAATCAAAGTGAGATAAATTTAACACTACTCATTCATTTATGATATTATACCTACACATGATTCACAAGTTCCGATTTTAACTTTTGTATGTTGTACCAAAACTGAAGTCTATATGTACCCTATATCAAAAAGTGACCACTTCTTGTACAAGTACAAATCTATACCTGTGTGAAAAAGAGATTATTCAAAAACAAAAGTTAGGAGACAAACTATAAAAAACTCCAAAAGTCTTCAAATCTTTGTTCTTCAATCTTTATCGAAGGGGCTAGTTATAAATATTTTACAACTCGAGTAATCCAGATACTCGCTTCAAAGGGTCCAAACTTCCAATATCACTACACTTTTCAAAACTTCTCACTTGATGCTTCCAAATATTTATTTTGCAAGTTGAATCACATGGATAAAGTTGAATTGATTGCTTGGTGTACTGAATCCACACATGTCGTGAATCGTACGAATCTGATGTGATTCTTGCTTCCTATCTATTCACTTCCAGAAATGAATCGATTTCTTGGTGTATGAAACTGAATCGTATGATACTTTCTTGGTGTATGGAACTGAATCGTATGATACTTATTGTGAATCATACGATTCTAATACATCAGATTCAATCCTCAAATGCATTCATGTTGCTAATGTTCAACTTATTATTTTTATAAAATAATCAGACGTGAACTACAGAAATGAAGAAGAAATGGATTTCTATTAATAAACCCCAAGCAAGAAATCAAATAGATCAATATCTGGAGGTAAATTATTTCAATTTGAATTGAAGTGAAGAACAGTGTGTTGAACTTAATAGTAGTAATAGTAGTATCACTTGCTGTGGCAATTTTGGTTAAGCTAGCACTTGACCAAGAAATCAAACAGATTGATACTTATTGTGAATCGTTGATTCTAATACCGGGTATTCAGTCCTCAAATGCATTCCTTGTTGCTAATGTTCGACTTATTTTTTTATAAAACCAATCCGACATGAACTATAGAAATGAAGAAATGGATTTCTATTAATAAAACCCAAGCGAGAAGTCAAATAGATCAGCACTAGGAGATAAATTATTTCAATTTAAATTCAAGCAAAGAACAGTGTGTTGAACTTAATAGTAGTAGTAATATCACTTGCTGTTACAATTTTGGTCAAGCTAGCACTTGCGGAAAATTAAACTAAGCTTCAAGTGCTGCTTCAACATTTGTTTATTTATTGATTTGATTATTTATAATATCTTGTGACTGGAATTTCTTTGATGAGTAATTACATTGCAAAAACACACCCTATTACGGGGTTAGTGTCATTTTTTGCCAGGAAGGTTGAGGCAAAGTTTCCCAACTATTGCGTTCTTTTGTTGAGAATTTATTTTTGTTAGCTTCTATTAAATTTATTGTAGTCAGAAAGTACGACACGGTAGGAATGTAAAGCAGAGAGGGAGTTACAACATGCAACGTTGGTCCCAAAGTATGCATGCACTCTGCGATTTATCTGGATTTGAAGAAGAGCAACAAGGAGAAATCTGAGAAGCTTAAGAGCTTGACATACTGCTGGTGAAAAAAAATTAACACATAATGCCTACTCTTTTTTAAAACAGAGCCTTGAAAACTTATAGAAGAAGCAAATCTGTTAATTTGCTAGACCAAATGGCAAGTACCGAGTGTCTGAAGGGTTGCTGAAAAGTCTATTGGAAGTATGTATTAAGAATTTTGGAAGAGTTCATCATATCTGTTTTATGCTTTTCCTTCCATCTTAATGCATTTGAATCTGAGATGCATGTACGGATTAATCTATGCCTATAACCTAGTCACGATGGTCAAGAAATATTGCATATAGAACTTAATACCCCACATTAAATGTAATCATAGCTTGTGAAATCTTCAGCTGGTGTCATTTGCATTCTCTTTTCCTTTTAGATGAGATTTTATGTTATTTTTATAATTGTGCTGTTCTTTCATTAAATATAGGAAATTATTTTTATGTTGTTATCCAGATTACCTAGAGTACTGTGAGACTGTCTAATATATATGAAGGAATTAGATGCTTCAAATTTGTTTATCTTGCTGACCCTCCACACATTACCATTTGTAGATATAGATGACAAGTAAAGGGTTGTACTTGAAGTAGCCACTAACTACATGATTTCCATCTGACGGACCTAAAGAGTTCATGACTGGATTTCATATAGATTATTTTATCTAAATTGATACATGAAATGTCATATTTGTTAAACGTTATATCTGAATGCTAACTTTCATGTCAAGTAGCAATGGAATGATTAACTATAGTACTCATTTCCATGTCTTATATATGTTGTTATACATCTATTTTTCCTTGCACCATATTTTTTATTTGTTTTTTTATTTTTTATTTTTGCACCTTTGTACTAATGTAAAAAACAATCCATATTATCTTACTATATGTGGAAAGATATGATACACTTTAATGTTCCGATTGCTTCATTGGTTTCTTCTAAGTCTAATTTGATCTCTTAGAATTTCCAGTTTTGTGGAATTCTAAATGATTGCAAATCATTGAATTTGCTTCCTTGTCATCTATTCTTGACAATGTTTCTTTGGCTAATAACTCTCTTGATAAAATCCAGAATGTTTTCTTGTGAGTCTTTTTTTGATAAATCCATTGATGTTAACTTAATTTATCACTGGAAAGAGAGTTGAGCTCCACTGCTCATAATCTACAAGCTGTTCAAATAAAATAAAATAAATAAATGCTCATGGTCTGGTGGAAAAATGATGAACATGTCCATAAGAAACACTTTAATCTCCAAAGTTGGTGCAAGCAGTGTCAACCTTTGGTTTTATTGGATGCTATCAGCTCTATTTGGTGTAAAGTGCTGAATCAGATTAAATGTTTATATTGTACTTATTAAAGTTTGTTTCCTTTTGGAGGGATTTTAAAGCTTTGTTTAGTTTCTTCATAAATTGTTATGTGCTAGTTGGATAAGCTGTGATCTTGTATTTGGTTGAATCAATCTTAGTTCTTTCATTGCGTAAGCCTCCCTTACCTGCTGTCATTGCTGATATTTGATTTAGGTTTGGATATGATTAGACCTGGCTTAAACTGAGTCCTGTCCTTGAGTTTTTAGCAACTTTTTTGTAAGCCTGGAATAACTTTGGAAGCTTTAAGTTTGATTGATTATGATATAACTTGGAATAAGAGTTAGTGGTTTGCTACATAAGAATGTGCAAACTGAATCAAAATTCCCCTATTCACTCCAATGAGACTGGCACTTTTTCTTCACTCAGGTTCCAAGTCATTGGATCATTCATATGCATAGCTTGTAAGATAGTAGTCCAGTTTTTCTGGTATTATCCCAGGTGTCTTGGATGATACATAACAATTGGATGATAGATTTCTTGGATTATCCTAGATTTCTTGGGCGAGATGTCAGGAGGGGATATCTATGTCTTGTATTGAAGATTTCTGACGATTGTTCATTAAGTTTTTCTGAGACCAGTTTCTAATCATTGCTCCAATCTTGCCAAGTTGCTGGGGCATTAGGAGGGTGAGGACACTTTTTAGATTTGAAATTATGATATCTGTGATAGTGCCAGAGTAGTGGCCTGCTGTGTTTGGTGTGCGACACATGTCAAGATTCTCACTATTGATTACTTGATTAAAAGGAGACAAGTGCATGTCAATTGGTGTTGCCTGTGCAAGAAAAATGAGGAGTCAATGAGGCAGCTCCTCACCCATTCTGAGGTGGCAAGCGAGTTGTGGTCTTCGCTTCTTACATTGTTTTGTGTGGACTGGATATTCCCTCGTTTGGATGGGAAGTTGCTTAGCTCATGGGTAGCAACTTGGATGTGGGGGAGGAGAATGAAGGCACGGGGGCTGGTTTCATTGGCTTTGATATGGTTGATATGGGGAGAAAGAAATAGAAGAAATTTTGATGGAAGAGAATAAACTGTTTTTAGATTGAAGAGTAAATTTTTGTCCATATTGTATAGTTGATATTCGGGTGTGGCTTCCCATCCATAAACCAATTTTTGGATTTTGGAAAGGCCTTGGAATTGTATAGTTGATACATTTTGTTTTGTATATGGGTTGCTCCCTCTTGTGATGTTTTTACCATCCTCTTGCGATAAGATTTTGAACTACCTTTAGTATTCCCAAAAAGATTTTGTGGTAACTTGGGTTCAAGGGAAGTCCTCAAGCAATTGCTAATAAAAAAGCGTTTTCAAGTGCTGGATTTTAGGTGTATGACATGTGTGGTCTGTTTGGTAGTCTTATTGTTTTCATTTTCTTTTTTCTTACCCCTCTTAGTTATGTATGCTTTATTTCTTTAAAACTCGTCGAGGAGTCCTACAACATGATTTGGAATTCTTTGATAATTTTTCATGTGTTTGCTGACTGTTACGTTGTTAGTTTTTAAATATTTTTAATAATAAAATTATATTCTTTCTTCAAAAAATAGTTGCATGTATTATTACAAAGCAGGAAACATGCATTTATTTTACTCAATAAGAACCTGATATGCCAATTATGGTGCATTTCATTTTTTTTCCAAACCATCACCTTATTACATTATGTTGGGGGTGCCTCTGGATCTGATAGTTTGGCTAGTAGTCCTGCTTTGGAATTCTTAAAATTACAGTATTTTAACTTTCATGTTTCTAGTGTTACATGTATGAATGGTCCATGATTAAAACTTTCAACTCCATATATAAATGGCAATTATTAGCACTGGTCTCGTATAGACACCTAACGTTTCCCTTTTATTTGCTTGAAGTTCTCTCAAAACAGAACTGCATTGTGACACTTCCTAACTCTCTCTGTCTGTGGTGCATTGGTTAACTCAGTTTGAAATTTTAGATGTTTTGGTGCTTACTGGAAACATGGATTTTTGGGCATATTTTTCATTCAGTTCACTATGTATATCAAGTGGAAAGTGGTGTTTTATGCTGAAGTTTCAGCTCTTTCTGCTTGTTAATGTCAATAATTTCTATGCTCTTTTTTGTTAATATGCAGGTCAAACATTTGTGGTTTCAAAGAGACCCATGAAGGGGCATGGAAGAGAGATGATTCAGTTGGGCCTCCCCATTGCAGATGCACCTCCTGAAGATGAAAATGTGGTGGGGATGTCCAAAGGCATGTTCCATACTTGTGCAAAGCCCCTGTTTTTCGAAAAGCAAATTTTGAAAAAATTCCTGTTTTTTGAAAAGCAAATTTTGAAAAAATTCTTTCTTTTTGGCTTTCTTAATAAATTTTATTATGTTTTTCTTTTTTTCATATTTGTTGGTAATTGAGATGAAATTTGCAGACAGAAGAATAGAATCCATCCCTGGCTTGCTGCAAGATGTAATTGAACGCTTAGCTGGAATGCAAATTATGACGGTGAAGCCAGACTCCTGCATTATCGATATCTTTAATGAGGTTGCTAACCATGTTATGATATATCATTAAACAAAACCTACGAAGCACGGGTACTCCAAAAATGGTGCCGTACTCGTACCGGGTACGTACCGGGTGCTGGTACGCGTACTGGTACGGCTGCACGCGTACCGGATACGGCAAACAGTGTCTCGGTACTTTTGGGGGAACTGGTACGGCGTGGGTACACCGTGGGTACGCCGGGGTACGGCAGAACTCAGCTGTTCCGAACACGGAAGAGAAGAAACAGAGAAGAGAGGAGAGAAGAGAGGAGTACCTGGTTTGAAGCTCTGACGACTCCGACGACCTTCGATCGACCTTTGACGACCTCCGACGACCTTCGCCTTCTCTTTCTCTCTCTCTCTCTCTCACTTCGCCTATTTCTCTCCTCTCTCTTCGACTCTGTTTCTCTCTTCGACTCTGTTTGAAACCTAGATATAGATATTATATAGATATATATATATATAGTATAAATTATAATTTATATTATATTACAGATTATTTATGACTTCATAGTTGAAAGTAGCCAAGGAGCTATTAGAGCTTAATAATACCATATAAGTTTTTTATTTTTTATTTTATTACAAAAAGCCCACTTTGTTAGATTGTTTTTGGTAGCTCGTCGAGGGCAATCTTTTTTGAAAAATTGTTTCCGTGTAAAAAACTAGGGGTGCCTCTATTTGCACACCATATTTCATCTCAAGGCAAACCATTAATTGATTTATTTTTTATTACAATATTAACCTTATGTAAAATGACTACAAAGGACAAAGGGTTATAATACACACCTTTTGTAATCGAGTTTGACACTAAAATGTCGAACAAATGGTTAATGTTCGAAAGAAACACTCCGGACAAGTGGCTAAGGTTCGACAAAAATAGTCCGAAGAAATTGTTAAGGTTCGAAAGTCCAGAGTCGAACGGTTTGCAAACTGAAATTTTTACCGACATCTTGAGTCTTCACCACTGGTTCTGTTCACCGGTGTCTTGAGGAGTCTTCATCACTGGTTTTGCTCACCGGTATGTGGGGGTGACCATCAATCAGAGAAAGGAGGGGGAGATGGATCGTGGGTGGGTGTTACATGTATGAATGGTCCATGATTAAAACTTTCAACTCCATATATAAATGGCAATTATTAGCACTGGTCTCGTTTAGACACCTAACGCTTCCCTTTTATTTGCTTGAAGTTCTCTCAAAACAGAACTGCATTGTGACACTTCCTAACTCTCTCAGTCTGTGGTGCATTGGTTAGCTCAGTTTGAAATTTTAGATGATTTGGTGCTTACTGGAAACATGAATTTTTGGGCATATTTTTCATTCAGTTCACTATGTATATCAAGTGGAAAGTGGTGTTTTATGCTGAAGTTTCAGCTCTTTCTGCTTGTTAATGTCAATAATTTCTATGCTCTTTTTTGTTAATATGCAGGTCAAACATTTGTGGTTTCGAAGAGACCCATGAAGGGGCATGGAAGAGAGATGATTCAGTTGGGCCTCCCCATTGCAGATGCCCCTCCTGAAGATGAAAATGTGGTGGGGATGTCCAAAGGCATGTTCCATACTTGTGCAAAGCCCCTGTTTTTCGAAAAGCAAATTTTGAAAAAATTCTTTCTTTTTGGCTTTCTTAATAAATTTTATTATGTTTTTCTTTTTTTCATATTTGTTGGTAATTGAGATGAAATTTGCAGACAGAAGAATAGAATCCATCCCTGGCTTGCTGCAAGATGTAATTGAACGCTTAGCTGGAATGCAAGTTATGACAGTGAAGCCAGACTCCTGCATTATCGATATCTTTAATGAGGTTGCTAACCATGTTATGATATATCATTAAACAAAACTATATATATATACATATATTACTTGATTTTGGAAAATTGTGCATAACATTATGCAGGCCTAATTGTGGCGCTCTTATTTGCAGGGTGATCACTCACAACCACATATGTGGCCAGCATGGTTTGGAAGGCCTGTGTGTCTCCTGTTCTTGACAGAATGTGAAATGACTTTTGGGAAAGTAATTGGAATAGACCATCCTGGGGATTATAGAGGTTCCCTTAGACTTCCTCTTGCACCTGGGTAATCTTTTCCATCTTTTTCCCTCTTGCTTCTTATGCATCTTGTTAGTTGTTAATATTGGTTTCTAGAAAAGTAATGCCATAAGTTTCTAAAAGAGAGAAATGCTATACAAAAATAACTTGAACAGACTTTTCCATAATCCAGATTATTTATGACTTCATAGTTGAAAGTAGCCAAGGAGCTATTAGAGCTTAATAATACCATATAAGTTTTTTATTTTTTATTTTATTAAAAAAAGGCCACTTTGTTAGATTGTTTTTGGTAGCTCGTAGAGGGCAATCTTTTTTGAAAAATTGTTTCCGTGTATAAAACTAGGGGTGCCTCTATTTGCACACCGTATTTCATCTCAAGGCAAACCATTAATTGATTTATTTTTATTACAATATTAACCTTATGTAAAATGACTATAAAGGACAAAGGGTTATAATACACATCTTTTGTAATCGAGTTTGACACTAAAATGTCGAACAAATGGTTAATGTTCGAAAGAAACACTCCGGACAAGTGGCTAAGGTTCGACAGAAATAGTCCGAACAAATTGTTAAGGTTCGAAAGTCCAGAGTCGAATGGTTTGCAAACTGAAATTTTTACCGACATCTTGAGGAGTCTTCACCACTGGTTCTGTTCACCGGTGTCTTGAGGAGTCTTCATCACTGGTTTTGCTCACCGGTATGTGGGGGTGACAATCAATCAGAGAAAGGAGTGGGAGATGGATTGTGGGTGGGGGTGGAGTGTGTGAGTAAGTGAATGAGAGTAAAAATGGAAGATTGTGGGTGGGGTGTATGAGTAAGGGTAAAGATGGAAAGTTGTGGTGTGTATTGAGCAAATTGCTTATTTATCAATTTATTAAAGGTGTGCCTTGAGTAGTGGTGTGCCTTGAGATGAGTGGTAGTGTGCAAATAGAGCCACCCTAAAACTAGTTTTTGTAAACTTTGAATGGCTCATTCTGGGAAATGACTGAAAAACCACTCAAGGACCTAGTTACCTTGTTATGATTGCCTCTTGAACTTGTATTTCATCTGAACTGTGTTTAAAACTTTTTCTAGGGCTGCCTTGACACTTGGTGGAGTAGGGCTCAAAAACAATTGACGATACCAAATCAATGGTTTACATAAAAATTAAGTGTAGTTTTATTGCTGATTGATCAGGAACTTGTAGTTTTTAGTCCTCCCATTTATTTATTTGAGATCTTCTGGCATTGGGATCACCTGCTATTTTCCTGATTTAATTCTAATTGGTGAAAATACAGATCCCTGCTTGTAATGCAAGGAAAATCATCAGATTTTGCCAAACATGCAATCCCCTCCCTCCGCAAACAGCGTATAATTGTTACCTTCACAAAGTCACAACCAAAGAAAACTACACCTAATGATGGGCACCGTCTTCCTTCACCTGCAGCAGCACCAACAACCTCTCATTGGGGCCCACCACCGCCTACTAGGTCACCGAACCATATTCGTCATCCTGTGCCAAAGCATTATGGGCCAATCCCTACGACAGGGGTATTGCCAGCTCCAACTGTTCATCCACAACTGGCACCTCCAAATGTCATCCAAGTCCAACCACTTTTTGTGGCTGCCCCAGTTGCTGCAGCCATGCCTTTTCCTGCACCAGTTGCCGCTATCCCACCTGCTGCCTCAGCTGGATGGTCAGCAGCCCCTCCAAGGCATCCTCCGCCGCCTCGTCTACCAGTACCCGGCACTGGAGTTTTCTTTCCTCCACCTGGTTCTGGTAATTCAGCAACTCAACAATCATCATTGTCAACGACTATGGCAACTGAAACAAGCTTTTCTGATGAGACACCAGCTATGCCAGAGAAAGAAAATGGTTTAGATAAGCCAAATGGCAGTAGTGCTTCTCCAAAAGGTAAAGCAGATGGAAAGATGCCGCAACAAGAGTGCAATGGAAGCTTGGATGGAGCAGTTGTGACAAAGGAAGATCAGCGGCAAAGTGCTGACACGAAGGCAGCTAACAAACCAGCTGGAACTGTTTAGAGAGAGAGAGAGAGAGAGAGAGAGAGAGAGAGTGCAGTGAGTTCAAAGCAAATGTAAAGAGCGGCAAAAGTTTCGACTCGAGCATAGTAAGTACACCAGTGAGCGCAGGGGGGTTGTTAAGGGGAGTATACCCAGTAGTAGTACTCTTTTACAATCTCTTGTGCTTTCTGTTCCCTTTTTGTTGTCTTGTTATATGAAGATGAACCCTCTTACATTAGAAGACGAGGAACTCACTCTTTTTCACTTTGAAGTGTAGCTCTTCTTCCATTCTCACTTGAAATCAAGTCCTTGCCACTGGTTGAATCTGAAGATCAGGGCTCGCTATTATTTTGCTTGGTATGCTGATGTTGAGTTTTGGCTAATATTTGAATCCATTATTTAACAGTCCGTTTAGCTTTTGGAAGAAAAAGAAAATAAATCCATTTTTATCACTTTTTGGATTACTAGAAAAAGGGAGAAATGGGATGAGATGGCAAGGAAGGGAGAGAATGGGAGAGAAAAAGACCCTACAATTTATTTGGTGCGTTTGGTATCCAATTCGAAAGCTTTTTTTATGTTCTAGTAAACATGAAAAAGAAGGGTCTAATTATATCAAAACTCCCTTAATTATGAACTTAGATTATTTTATCCTTTTGTTTATGTATTCGCAAATTTTGACTATAAAAATCTTACAAATACTTTCCCTTTTTTAGGGATAAGGATGGAAGTGATGTTTGTTTGTTAATTTGTTTATTTGTTTTATTTTCTTAATAATTGAAAGGGTTAAAATGTTTGTGTTCATAGATGAAAGAGTAAATTGATATTTACTAATAGTTAAGTAAGAGTGTTCATGACTGGTTTGGTTCGGTTATAAAGTGAGTTAGGAACAAAATCAATTCTTAAGGTTCCAAAAAATAGAGAATCAAACCAAACCAAACCATGATATCTTTGGAACCACAGTTCTATGCTATCAATTTTTAGAATATTATCTAAACTAGATTTATAAAATTACAATCATGTAATGGAGAGAATCTCAACCTAAAAAGATTGATCATAATTAAAAATGTAACGCCAATATTTATTCAAGAAGTGGCTCCCACAACAAGAAGATTAAATCTACGCTCTAAATTGAAATTGTGGAAAACTTTTTTTTTGTTTTGTTTTTTTTTGGGTTTTTTTCGTGGGTGCTAAGACTTTTCTGTTGAAATAATAATAATTTGACATGCTTATTTTATACTTAAAAGTCGATGACTTGTGTGTTCCCTACAAGGTAGAAGAGAAGGATGACTTGCATAATGATAAAAAGTGCTTGCGTATTGTAGTTGTGAATTAAGAATATTTTTGGAAGGGGTTTTCTTCTTCTCATGTTCTTTAAAAAAATAAAATAAAATGTGAATGAAATATAAATAGACATACCATGCGAAGGTGGACAAAGAAGAGATCTCTTTCTTCATCGTTAAACCTTTCCTACTTGCAATGACAAATCAGCATCTATCCATGCAGGCATGTTGTGGTAGTTGCGTCCAAGAAAAAGTTTGTTTGGTTGTTTTGAAATGTAGTTATCTGTGTCACTGTCACTCTCTTCTTCTACACACATATATAAACACAAACCTTGGTATTTAAATTTTGATGCATTCATATTCCAACATTTTCAACAGACCTCTCTGTCTTTCTCAAGAATAGAAAATCATGGCTGCTCTGCTTAATAAACCTATGCTTTTGTTTCTTTCATTCGCGGCTAGTTTATGGTTGTGTTGTCATTTCTCTGAGGCTGCACTCCCGCGTTTCCATCACCCCTTGAAAACCGATGGCTCGCTTAGCTTTTTGGTGGTCGGAGATTGGGGACGTAAAGGCCTTTTCAACCAATCTAAAGTTGCTTCTCAGGTCTTACATTTTTCTTCCCTTAATTATTAATCATCAATTTTTTAATTTTTTTTTCAAAATAAAAATATTGGATTTTTGAAATGTGCTATATATGTTTACTTCAGAATTTTCAGGAGTTATTTAATTTAATATCTTTGATAAACACTTGAATGGTATAAATGGACTGATTGTTTTGTGTGGTGATCATACATAATATTGCCAAAGATGGCATATTTGAATTGAATCTTCCTTTTCGCAAAAAAATAAAATTAGTATCAATCTAGCCCAAAATTTGCTCGACTCGCAGGAAGGGAATGCTTTAAATGAGTGAGGATTAGTTGGGATTATACCTAATTAAATATCCAATTATCAAAATAAATAAATAAATATATATATTTTTGGCCCCATATCGAATGTAAGTTCTTCACGTCGATAAAGTTTTTTTTATTTCATGATAGTTTGACTAATCTTTTGTTGTTGTTGTGTGAATAAAAAAAATAAAAATAAAATTAGTGTTATTATAGTCTAAAAATTAGATTCATTATAAACTTAATGATGTAACAATCTATTAGAATATTTAAAGCAACTCTTTCTCTCATATCTTGTCTAATTATTAACAAATAGTCTCATTTAAATATCATTTGATTTAAAAAGTGAACTTATATATTATTTTTTCAAAAAAATAATTAATAAAAAGTACATAGTTTCTATGTGGCAAAATGATAGCCATATTGGGAATGGACATATAAAAGTGAGCCATATTCGGTGACTTCTTTAATGACAATAGACTTTCATAGACCATCTTGAATGGTAGTTTGGAAAATGGCTCCTATGTAATTATAATGTGATTCACTTCAATGTACTTGTTTACTAGTGTATGTTACAAATCGCATCATTTTCTTCAATATGTGATATCCTACCAATGTGAATGCAACAATGCTTTGGTTTTTTCCACTATTGTAAGATAGGACTATCAGGTTTGGGTTAGGTGATTTCGAGAATAACATAAATTTATTAAAAATTTAAAAACTACTTGAATTTGAGAATTTAGATTCCAAATCGCTCTGGTTTAGTAAAAAAACTATTAATGTAAGCTCATGCAATTTAATTGAGTGTAGTACTAGGAATTGTACTATGACGCTGGAAGTCCGAGGATTTTGGACATTAAAAAGTGATTTGTTACAGTAAGAGAGTATTTATCATTGTCGTGTTAAAATATCTATTGATTTAAAAATTTAATAAGAGCTCTCTAAAATTCATTTTGAGTTAGCCATTTTAGCATTTCTCTTAGACTGGTATTTTTTTATTTTTTATTTTTTATTTTTACATCAACCATTTTTATACATTTAAATATATTTTGTAGATGGGAATAATCGGCGAGAAACTAGACATAGATTTTGTAATCTCAACTGGTGATAATTTTTATGAAGATGGTTTGATGGGCATCAATGATCCTGCATTTTATGACTCTTTTAGCAATATCTACACTGCACCGAGCTTGCAAAAGACGTGGTACAGTGGTAAATTTCAATTTCAATTTCAAATTCAAATCCAAATCAATGCACTCCAAAAACGTTAACATATATCTTTCAATTTTTATTTATTTATTTTAAGAACAAATAAAAATGTAAAAAATAAAGACCTATTTGGTATTTTTTATATTATTTTTATTTTTTGTTCCATTTTCTAGAAATATGTGATATCCTACCAATGTGAATGCAACAATGCTTTGGTTTTTTCCACTATTGTAGGATAGGACTATCAGGTTTGGGTTAGGTGATTTCGAGAATAACATAAATTTATTAAAAATTTAAAAACTACTTGAATTTGAGAATTTAGATTCCAAATCGCTCTGATTTAGTAAAAAAACTATTAATGTAAGCTCATGCAATTTAATTGAGTGTAGTACTAGGAATTGTACTATGAGGCTGGAAGTCCGAGGATTTTGGACATTAAAAAGTGATTTGTTACAGTAAGAGAGTATTTATCATTGTCGTGTTAAAATATCTATTGATTTTAAAATTTAATAAGAGCTCTCTAAAATTCACTTTGAGTTAGCCATTTTAGCATTTCTCTTAGACTGGTATTTTTTTATTTTTTATTTTTTATTTTTACATCAACCATTTTTATACATTTAAATATATTTTGTAGATGGGAATAATCGGCGAGAAACTAGACATAGATTTTGTAATCTCAACTGGTGATAATTTTTATGAAGATGGTTTGATGGGCATCAATGATCCTGCATTTTATGACTCTTTTAGCAATATCTACACTGCACCGAGCTTGCAAAAGACGTGGTACAGTGGTAAATTTCAATTTCAATTTCAAATTCAAATCAATGCACTCCAAAAACGTTAACATATATCTTTCAATTTTTATTTATTTATTTTAAGAACAAATAAAAATGTAAAAAATAAAGACCTATTTGGTATTTTTTATATTATTTTTATTTTTTGTTCCATTTTCTAGAAAATACATAAAATTTATTTGAGGAATTGTTTTCGAAAACTTCTTTCAAAAGTTTTATTTTTATTTTTAAAAACAACCCATTTATTGATAATGCTTTAAAGTTCTCATTCATTCATTTATTTATTTATTTTGTGACAGTTTTGGGCAACCATGACTATAGAGGTGATGTTGAGGCACAAATGAGTCCTATTCTTAGGGAGAAGGATAAGAGATGGGTATGCATGAGGTCCTTCATTCTCAATGCAGGTAAAATGAGCTTCCCATATTCACTCTCTCTTAGAAATTAAACTTTTACTCTATTCAATTGCTCACAAGAAATAAAATAAAATATAAAAAAGGTTAAGAAGAGAAAATTTGTGATCTTACTTGTTTGGCATTGTTTGTCTGTACCAAACTTCTTTTGCTTTACATTTTCATTTAATCCGCTCTGTATGCATGCAAAACAAAAATACAGATTCAAATTATTATTTTTCTCCTTCATTTGCTTCCAAACAAAATATATGTGTTTCATACTTCATATGCATAGATGCAACTGAGTGACTTTTTTTTATTTATTTTGGTTGATATTGTTGGGCAGACATTGTGGAATTTTTCTTTGTCGATACTACTCCATTCGTAGATAAATACTTCACAGATCCAGGGGACAATGTTTATGACTGGAAAGGAGTTCTTCCTCGGAAAAATTATCTTTCAAACCTGTTAAATGTAAGTGGGTTTTCTCCCACTAAAACCTCAACAAATTTTCTAGTTTATTTCATATCCAAAAAGTTTTTTTTTTTTTTTTTTTTTAGCCACCTTTGAAAGTTATATCGATTGCCATAACACTTCTCTCTCTCTCTCTCTCTGATATTACATTAGGATGTGGATTTGGCATTAAAAAGTTCAAGTGCAATATGGAAGATAGTTGTGGGTCATCATACAATAAAAAGTGCAGGGCAGCATGGTATCACTGAAGAGCTTGTGGTGAATTTACTTCCCATCCTTCAGGTAATAATCCAAACAAGTTTTCACTAATGTCAGCATACACTCACATAACCTTTAGCAATTGAAACATTGTTTAGACTAATCCATTATAATCATCTTTCTAGGAAAATAATGTCGATGTATACATGAATGGGCACGATCATTGTTTGGAACACATCAGTTGCTCCAAGAGGTAAAATTTATTCCCACAAACTATCTATGAACTAGTGATAAATTTATTTTTCCAAATACCATCAAATTGATTGGGTCTTATTGCAGTAAAATTGAATTTTTAACTAGCGGAGGTGGGTCCAAGGCATGGAGAGGTAATGTTAAAGAGTGGAATCCGGAGGAAATGAAGTTTTACTATGATGGGCAAGGTTTTATGTCTGTTCAACTGGATGAAGCTAAAGCAAATTTCATATACTACGATGTTTTCGGAGAAGTTCTGCACAAATTTATGGTTTCCAAAGAGTTTCACTCAACTAGTTAGAGACGTTTAAAGGGGGGATAAATTAGCTCAAGGACACTATAACTCTCTAATTTAGGACTTGGGAGATTATAAATTCAAAATGGATGATGAATGAGATATTATAAAAGTGATCAAGGTTTGGGGGAAAAAAGGGTTGGGGTATGTAATTGGATATAATGAAGGACAATTATGAAAAGTAGACCCAAAAAATCACTATATATATGCAGTTTCATTGTAAAAGTAAAATGTAAACAAAATTCACATTTTCATTCATTGTAACATGATTTAGTACAACAATGTTTTTCTAATTCCTGTTCAAGTGGTTGAACGAGATCCATAAATTAATTGTAGAAGTGATGATATACATGTTTAAAGCCAAACAGAATCGAAGTGGGGTACACTATATAAGTACACTTTTTATCTTTTTTGGATCACACCACCTCCCTACTTTTCTGCACATTTTTTCATAAAAAGTTAAAAAGTACACTTATTTAGATGATCTCAAACAAATACAATTTGAAGGTGGGAAAACTTTTTAGAAACCAACCTAACAGAAATTTAGATGATTTCATTCATCAAACAAAACAAATACTGATAGCTTTTACCAGTTTAATATTGGGAGAAAATAAAACAAAAAAAACCAAATTTGAAATATCCGAATCCGGCACAAAAATAGCGGAAGCGTTTATTCTCCCTTTTTGTGTGAACCTATTAGGAAGCAATTTAATAGAGCACAATATATTTTGAGAATAATCTGAAAACAATGATCCAACAATCACACAATAAGGCGATAGCAATTTTTAACGTGGAAAACCTTCTCGATGTGGAAAGGAAAAACCACGGGACCGTAGTCCACCAAATATCTCCACTATAAACAAATAATGGGTATACAAGAGTTCTCTCTAGATAGAACTAGAGGCAAACAATCAAGAACAATTTATAAATAAGCTTCCTTGGCAACCAAAGATCAAACTACAAAGCTTAGGAAAAATCTCACCAAAAATGGTACTGTTCATGGGCCAAAAACCAGCAGTAGAAAACTCCAAATCTGATCTCCACCGTCCAGAATTTAGAGTCCTGAGTTGTGAACTCGCCTACCAAATTTCAGCTCAATTGGACCACATATTCTTGTTGATCGGATAGCTTGATCACTGCTGGACAGAATTTCTCCTCTTCTCTCTGTTTTGGTGGCAGCTTCTACGTCTCTTTTTGTGTACACAGAAAGGGTTTGTAATCCTAAACTTATGGGCCAGATCTTTTCAAAAAACATAACCACTCCATGTGGGCTTTGAAATTCACATGGGCTTACTAAATGTTTTGGGCCTTCCTCCACATAGGATGGAAACCCAGCCCAACAAATCTCCCTCTTTCCGACTAGGTGGAGGGATTAATCCGGGCAATTGAGCAACATGTCTCAAGCTTCTCCCTTACCAAAGCTTTTGTCAACATATCAGCACCATTATCGTCAGTATGAATTTTTTCAAGTTCCAACAACTTATGATTAAGAATTTCTCTTATCCAATGGTACCTCACATCGATGTGCTTCGACCTCGAATGGAATGTAGAGTTCTTAGCCAAGTGAATAGCACTTTGGTTATCACAAAACAACACATATTGTTGTTGTTTGACACCAAGCTCCGTCAAGAACTTTTTCATCCATAGCAACTCTTTACAAGCTTCTGTTACCGCAATAAACTCTGCCTCTGTTGTAGAGAGTGCAACACATTTTTGCAACCTTGCCTGCCAAGAAACAGCTCCATCTGAGAAAGTGATCAAATAACCCGAAGTAGACTTACGAGTATCCACATCTCCTGCCATATCTGCATTAGTGTAGCCAACTAAAATTTGTCGTCCATTTCCAAAACTGAGTGTCAACCTGGAAGTGCCTCTAAGATATCTCATTATCCACTTTACTGCATTCCAATGCTCTCTTCCTAGATTTGAAAGAAATCGGCTAACCACACCAACTGAATGAGCTATGTCTGGCCTTGTGCAGACCATTGCATACATTATGCTTCCCACAGCTGAGGCATATGGAACTCTTTCCATATCTTCCTTCTCTTTATTTGTAGAAGGGCTTTGATTAATGCTTACCTTAAAATGAGTAGCAAGAGGTGAGCTAACCACTTTCGCATTGTTCATATTGAATCTTTCAAGCACTTTTTCAATGTACTGCTCTTGTGACATGTACAATTTCTTCTCTTTTCTGTTTCGATAGATTCGAATACCAAGAATTTGCTTTGTTGGCCCCAAGTCTTTCATGGAAAAGAACTTGCTTAGTTGCTTCTTTAATTTGTCAATTCTTGAAGGATTCCTGCCAACAATCAACATGTCATCAACATAGAGCAGTAAAATAATAAAATCATCATCAGAGAATTTCTGCATAAATACACAATGGTCAGAAGTAGTTTTCATGTAGCCTTGCTCCTCCATAACTGACTCAAACTTCTTATACCACTGCCTGGGTGCCTGCTTCAGACCATAAAGACTTTTCTTTAACTGACACACATAATCCTCTTTTCCTTTCACCCTGAAACCCTCTGGTTGTTCCATGTAAATCTCTTCCTCCAAGTCACCATGAAGGAAGGCAGTTTTCACATCCATTTGCTAATCTCTAAGTCTAGACTAGCGGCTAAGCCAAGAACCACACGAATAGAAGACATTTTTACAACTGGTGAGAAGATCTCATCAAAATCAATGCATTTTCTCTGACTGAACCCTTTAACAACTAGTCTAGCTTTGTATGGTGGTTGTGAAGTGAGTTCATCATGTTTTACCCTGTACACCCACTTGTTCTTTAAAGCTCTCTTGCCCTTAGGCAGTTTCACCAACTTAAAAGTGTGATTGTCATGCAACGATTGCATCTCATCAGCCCATTCTAGCTTATGATCATCTTCCATGGCTTCTGCATAACCCTTGGGCTCTCCCCCATCAGTCATTAACACATAGTCATCTGCAGAATACCAAGTGAAAGAATGTCGGTCTCTAGCTAACCTCCTGGTTGGAACATCTGGTGGTATCTCTGGTGTTTCCAACTGCTCAAGAGTCTCATTACCTGTCTCGACCTGTAAGGGGTCATCAGCATCACCTAGACCTTGTTGTTCATTCTGAACATCATGTTCAACCTGTGCAGGCAAATCTGTCAGAGGAACCGGATCTAAGTCAACTAAACCATCACTATGCCAGGACATTGTGTTCTCTGCTTTTTCAATATCTTGTATAGTTTGATCTTCAATAAATACAACATCTCGACTTCTCACTAGTTTCTTGTCAACTGGATCATATAACCTGTAGCCAAACTCATCTAGGCTATAGCCTAGAAAAATGCACTGTCGGGTCTTCATATCGAGCTTAGAGATCTTTGGGAATATGAACAAATGCTTTACATCCAAAGACACGTAGGTGATCATAGGAAACATCCTTGCCAGTCCAAACTCTGTCTGGTACATCGAACTGAAGAGGAACACATGGTGTGAGATTAAGAACATGTACAACTGTACTCAAAGCCTCACCCCAAAAGGATCTTGGCAACCGTGCCTGTGAAAGTAAGCATCTAACTCTTTCAACCAGTGTCCTGTTCATCATTTCAGCTAAACCATTCAACTGAGGAGTCTTCGAGGGTGCCTTTTGATGTCGAATACCCTGTTGTCTGCAATAATCATCAAAAGGACCGCAATACTCTCCCCCATTATCTGTTCTGATGCACATGAGCTTCTTCCCAGTCTGTCTCTCAACTAAGGCTTGGAACTGTTTAAAAGTCTCCAACACTTGATCTTTGCTTTTTAAAGTGTAGACCCACAACTTCCTTGAATAATCATCTATGAAGGTCACAAAGTAACGGGAGCCACCAAGTGTTCTTGTCTTCATAGGACCAGTGACAGTTTTGGGCAACCATGACTATAGAGGTGATGTTGAGGCACAAATGAGTCCTATTCTTAGGGAGAAGGATAAGAGATGGGTATGCATGAGGTCCTTCATTCTCAATGCAGGTAAAATGAGCTTCCCATATTCACTCTCTCTTAGAAATTAAACTTTTACTCTATTCAATTGCTCACAAGAAATAAAATAAAATATAAAAAAGGTTAAGAAGAGAAAATTTGTGATCTTACTTGTTTGGCATTGTTTGTCTGTACCAAACTTCTTTTGCTTTACATTTTCATTTAATCCGCTCTGTATGCATGCAAAACAAAAATACAGATTCGAATTATTATTTTTCTCCTTCATTTGCTTCCAAACAAAATATAAGTGTTACATATTTCATTTGCATAGATGCAACTGAGAGACTTCTTTTTTTTTGGTTGATATTGTTGGGCAGACATTGTGGAATTTTTCTTTGTCGATACTACTCCATTCGTAGATAAATACTTCACAGATCCAGGGGACAATGTTTATGACTGGAAAGGAGTTCTTCCTCGGAATAATTATCTTTCAAACCTGTTAAATGTAAGTGGGTTTTCTCCTACTAAAACCTCAACAAATTTTCTAGTTTATTTCATTTCCAAATTTTTTTTTTTTTTTTTTTGAAAGCCACCTTTGCAAGTTATATCGATTGCCATGACACTTCTCTCTCTCTCTCTCTCTCTCTGTGATATTACATTAGGATGTGGATTTGGCATTAAAAAGTTCATGTGCAAAATGGAAGATAGTTGTGGGTCATCATACAATAAAAAGTGCAGGGCAACATGGTATCACTGAAGAGCTTGTGGTGAATTTACTTCCCATCCTTCAGGTAATAATCCAAACATATGTCACTAATGTCAGCATACACTCACATAACCTTTAGAAAAACAATACAAAATGTAGCAATTGAAACATCGTTTAGACTAATCCATTATAATCATCTTTCTAGGAAAATAATGTCGATGTATACATGAATGGGCACGATCATTGTTTGGAACACATCAGTTGCTCCAAGAGGTAAAATTTATTCCCACAAACTATCTATGAACTAGTGATAAATTTATTTTTCCAAATACCATCAAATTGATTGGGTCTTATTGCAGTAAAATTGAATTTTTAACTAGCGGAGGTGGGTCCAAGGCATGGAGAGGTAATGTTAAAGAGTGGAATCCGGAGGAAATGAAGTTTTACTATGATGGGCAAGGTTTTATGTCTGTTCAACTGGATGAAGCTAAAGCAAATTTCATATACTACGACGTTTTCGGAGAAGTTCTGCACAAATTTATGGTTTCCAAAGAGTTTCACTCAACTAGTTAGAGAGGTTAAAGGGGGGATAAATTAGCTCAAGGAGGACACTATAACTCTCTAATTTAGGACTTGGGAGATTATAAATTCAAAATGGATGATGAATGAGATATTATAAAAGTGATCAAGGTTTGGGGGAAAAAAGGGTTGGGGTATGTAATTGGATATAATGAAGGACAATTATGAAAAGTAGACCCAAAAAATCACTATATATATGCAGTTTCATTGTAAAAGTAAAATGTAAACAAAATTCACATTTTCATTCATTGTAACATGATTTAGTACAACAATGTTTTTCTAATTCCTGTTCAAGTGGTTGAACGAGATCCATAAATTAATTGTAGAAGTGATGATATACATGTTTAAAGCCAAACAGAATCGAAGTGGGGTACACTATATAAGTACACTTTTTATCTTTTTTGGATCACACCACCTCCCTACTTTTCTGCACATTTTTTCATAAAAAGTTAAAAAGTACACTTATTTAGATGATCTCAAACAAATACAATTTGAAGGTGGGAAAACTTTTTAGAAACCAACCTAACAGAAATTTAGATGATTTCATTCATCAAACAAAACAAATACTGATAGCTTTTACCAGTTTAAAACCTTCATTCTATTCATGAACCAAAAACATCCCAACTCCTAAGTGGGAATCCTCTTCTTGTTCCCCGTGTTCCCACAAATCTCTTATGGCTAAAGGATGCTATGTGCCAAGTTCAGTGTTACCCTCTAAACAACCTTTTTTGAGAAAATAAGTATTTTTAGACCTATATTACATTGTGCTCAAACTACAAAACCGAGAATAATTCTTGAGTCAATTTTGTTCTCACAACTCCTTTTAAACTGCAGGATGCCATGTGTCATATTTGGTGGCAATCAAAAGCTGTCTGACGATTTTAGTACTATATGAACCCCTAAAACGGTCTTTATGTACACTAAGTGAGCCTAGACTTACATTGCTCATACTCCCAAACTGGGAATCGTTTCTGAGTTCTATTTATTCCAATAACTCTGTGATTCAACATGCCATTTTGGTACCTTTTCGAAGTTATTTAGGAATTTTAGACATGTAAAATGCTAAAGCAGCCTTATTAAGAAAATAAGCGTTACTAATTCAAGTGCTCAAATCTCCTAACCAGGAATCCTTGTTGAGTCTCGTTTGTCTCCACAACTTTCTTAGTACTAGAATATGTGCCAAGTTTGGTGATTATCTGAAGTTATTTAGGGCCTGTAGTGTTGGAACAAATCGTCTTAAATTCTTCAGTTGGTGGTCTTCGGGTTTTCAAAACTTGGCGATGAACTTGTCTATATAGAACAGAAATTTGATGTTTCAAGTCGCGTTATTAAGTCACTTTCCTAAACACAATATTTGCACCCACAAAAAGGTATGCAGGGGGTTACAACAAATTTACCTTCATGATACAATGAAGCCTGATCTAAAAATTAAGTCTATCGGCGTCTGCACTGACGATAATAGATCAGAATACTCTTGATATAATCAAGAAAACCAAGACACTGATAATCAAATATGCAGAACTTGATTACTAGTAAGAAAAGTAGAAATTGCTTAAAGAAACTCTTGATCGAAAACTCAAAATCAAGAGGAAGAGAGAGATGATTTGCAGGAATGCTTCTGAATTTTGTGGATGGAATGAAATGGCTGATTTTGCAGCCTATTTATAGGCCTTGATGCACCTGATTGAAGGGTCATGTCCCTTGATCGCATCCGATCAGATCTGACCGTTGGATCGACGATCTACGGTGCAGATCATTCTTACACCGAATAAATGCTAGATCTGACCGTTGGATCGATGATCTACAGTACAGATCATTCTTACACCGAATAGATGCCTTGACTAATCACACCTGATCACGATCGGGTGCCATCTCATCCATAAGATCAAAAGCATCTTCAATCGACTGCTATGATCAAATCGCTCCAGATCGGACATACAACCGTTCAAATCACCACGTCATTGCTCCAACCTGTCTAATGCAAATAGGAAAGCGCCCTCATGGCGCCGATGCGTTCATGCTAAGGGCAAAGTGCGCCATTAAACGCCACACAGCCCACGCTACGCGCACGGGCGGATGGTGTGAAGCACTATCCTTGCGATGTAAGTGCATGTACACTAGCATTCATTCCATAATACCATATTCAAAGGAATATTCTATGTAGCACTTTATTAAGTGCTCTATGTTTTCCTCTCTTTCCGATGTGAGTCAAAGCCCTAAGCTTATTTCATGTTTTCCAAAGAAAAACATGGAAGGTTTTGAAAACACCCAAAAATAAACTATAAATTTGAAAACCCATTTTGAAAATTCCCCATCATTCCCTCACCATTTTCAAAATATCAGATGATGATTCTTGGCTCACTTGGCAGCCTTATGCATAGGTGAAGATATCTTACGATTTGAATCATTCACTTAGTGAAGACATCTCAAAGTTAGTTAAGATGGCATAGTAGACTTGTCTTTAAACTAGTGATCTTATACGACTAACTAGACATGTCTCACGCACAGTACAGTTTACCTCAAGTATTCAAACAAACCGACACGTGGATTGGCCTTATGTCTATATCCTGTTTCATGAGCGCTCTAGAGTCAAGCCCTTGGACTCACAGGAAGCGGCACCACCTCCTACACTAACATAGGTAAGCTCACTAAGAGTATCCTTATAATTTACAGTACCCTAACAACTCAGTTGTAAGCTTATTAAGAGTTTGCTAACTCATCCTCTTCTTTTCACATTACAGGTACCAAGCACTTCAACCTTGGGATGAAAATGAAGTAAAACTAAGTGCTTGCAATCACGACATATGTTGTACTTGTGCTTATTGAACTCAAGACTTGATGTTTCTTTAAGCGTTGAGTCAAGTTTCCACCAAAATTGATTATGTTAAGTGGGCTTAAGACCCATTCTCTTTGATGTTTTCCACACCAAATCCAATTTATTTAATTAACCACAACCAGTTAACTTAAATAAATAAACATGCTTCAATAGCAACATGACATCCTTTTCAATTCATTCATTTATCTCATTATCAATTGAATCAAATAATTAAACAATTCATAATGATATCTAACAAAGCATCAAATACATTTTATACAGTCTTATGAGATGAATGCATATGCCATGTCATGCTGAAAATATTTTTTTCATCTTTTGAAAATTTTATGCACAATGCCAATTTGAAAACACATTAATCCAATAATTTCAATAAAATTCCAAGGTGGTAAATACAACTTAGGTAATTCCTAGGCTGGTGTTTGCAAGTAGGCATATCGAGCTTTACCAAATCCCCACTTTACCAGTCTCTCACCTGAAGGGCAGTGGTACCTCATCCACGCGTATTTTTGGTCTTTCACCCTAGACACTCAGGCCAACTTAACCAACATCAAATTACACCCTCTATCAGGACTTACCAACGTATTTACCCAAAACAAATCAAAATGATCTTGTTTCACCAAAAACAATTCATTTCTCAAAACAATAGTTTTCAATTGCAATTCGAAATCCATGATAACAATGAAATGGAATGGCAATGCAATATGTAACAATGCATTAAGATAGTTTCAATTTCAATTCCACCACACAATGCTCCATTGTGATCAATTTCCATATCTCTATCAATGTAATATTATGATATGATCCCAAGAGATAATATAATAATGTCAATGTCCATGTAAGTACCACATGTAAATCAACAACTTCCAACCTAGTCTTTTCAAGACAATTCAACAATATTCTTTATATAAAACCAACTTTCAAAATCAAAAATTTTCTTACCTTTCCAAGAATCTCCTCATTTAAATAGCAACATCGAAATCCTCTATCAGTTACCAAAATCAAAACTTTTAAACAAGAGGTTCATCAATAGCAATAACATATAACACCAAGGTGGGTTCAAGGTTTCATTAATTTCTAACTCACTTACTTTATCAATGAAAGATAATTATAATCTTTCCAAAACTCATCTCCATCCCAAACAGTAAATAGAATCAAATTCTCATTTTTCTCATGTGAGTAAAATCTCGGAATCTTCAAGTTCAATCATAATTCTCAATAAGCATAAATGAATATTCCTACACTTAATCAATTATATCAAAATCTTCTTTTGACTATAAGTATAAAATATAACACGAGTGTTCAATTTTCAATTATCAACATCCACCCCATCGAATTAAACCAAGGAAAAAAAAATAATAAATAAATAAATAAATAAAAATTTTGATAACTCATTTTTGTTTTAATCCAATTCATCCATTTGCTCCAAGTGAGCCAAAAATCACATTCTATTCTTTTCTTGTCAAAAACCGTCAAACAATATAAATATCTCATAAAAATTTTCAAGTATGAAATTATTATTGTAACATTACTCAACTAGTAAAACTAAGAATCCAATATCGTACAACATCAACTCAATCTCGCTTATTTCTCCAAATCTCATGCTTGGTCAACTTCGTCACTTTTAACCTTATAATATTAAAGTTAGGAATTAAACCCAATAACACCGCTTTAATTAAGTAGGATTTAAAATATTAACCAAACAAATTTAATTCATCAAATTAGTAAGTTCATTATTTTCACCATCTTCCAAATTAATAACGCCCAACTTAACCTCACATGTCTCATCTTTCAGATACACCTACATTTCATGTCTAGCCAATTTTCCCTAAATCTCTGCAAATAACAATTTCACAACTTTTTCTAAAATTATCTAATCAACATGATATTTACCTCAAAAATTATAAAATATGTCAAAGAGTAACATTTTCAAGGTTGTGAGTTCAAAAATTTACATTTCACATTTTCATTTTTACAAAAATGAACACAACCTAACCATCAACATATTATCTTGTATAAAATATCATGACCATAACACTTTTAGAGTTTTTAATCCCCAAACAACTCTATAATCCCAACTCAACAATTTACACGATATTCCTCAATGCCAATTTATTTTTCTCAAAAATAAATTCCACAACTCAAGGATGAGATAAATATTTCAACATTATTTTTCTCAAAATAAATTATCTAACCATAATATGAGATAGATACAACCCATACAACTATAAATTTTATTTTCAGATTTTTAACAAAATTATCAACACAAGATGATTTTCCCAAATCAAGTTTCAAATATCAATGTCCTTAACACTTCAATATAATTTTTCTTCCAAAAAATTACCAAACAAAAATCTGAAAATAAATAAAATATATATGCAATACTTTTTATAATGACATATTTTCTCAAAATAACCCTAACATAGTTTTAATGTAATAATATGAAGAAA